TCAGCATTTTTCACCAATGTTGCTTTTCCAGTGTGATCGCAACCCAGGTATAGGTTCTTATCGTTCTTGTTTTGGAACATGGTGTAACTCCAGTAGTAAAGGGGCAAAAAGATACATTTATCGTCGAGTGGCACTCCAATTTGTACCTCCTGTTAAGGTAGAAAACTAGCAAATCCAACCTTATTCTCTGTTTTTTTAAGTTAGACTTTTACTAATCATAGAGATGACAGAAGAAGTAATCAAAACTTTAAGTGGAACCATTTTCCTTGTAAATTATTTGATAATAAGTTATCAGTTTCAACATAAAACTTGGTTGTTACAGATAAAAAAATCAAGGCCCGGCGGGATACCCGTGCCTCTAAGCATCTATCGAGGTCAAAACATGTGTAGTTGTGACACGGATGTTAGTAACCTAAAGTTAAGCTAGGTCCAAACATTAAGATGGAATAATTACAACAGGCCAACTTTAATTGGTGAGATTGTAGCACAATGTCAGTCAGTCAGTCAGTCAGTTGGTCAGTCAGTCAGCCCGTCAGTCGGTCAGACAGTCATTCAGTCGGTCGGTGAGTCAGCTAGTAAGTCAGTCAGTCAGTCAGTCAGTCAATCGGTCATTCAGTTAGTCAGTCGATTGGTTATTCAGGCAGTTGGCTGTTCAGTCGGTCAGTCGGTCGGTCAGTCAGTCAGTCAGTCAGTCAGTTAGTGGGTCATTCAGTCAGTCGGTCATTCAGTCAGTCGGTCATTCAGTTAGTCAGTCGGTTGGTCGGTCGGTCAATCTTTAGAAACAGGACGTAAGGTGCTAAGGGAACTGTAGTGTTCGTCGATGGGGTGGGAGTATCATATGAGTTGATAATGTGAATTGGCCCCGTAAAGAGTTCTTAAACTTAAAGCTGCTACTTACTGTTGAGGTAATGTCCTGTCCTTCTGCATTTCCAGTCAGTACATAGTCCTTTCTATCTGAACTATTTTTAAACTGAAGCGCCACGTAGAAGGTCAAAATGCTTGTTTCATCAATAGCTTTCATAACAGCTAAAGGAAGTGAAGAAAAAAACATTTGTAATGACCAACTGTTTGCTGACATGGATAGGATTCAATGGATTACTTGAGCATGTACATGTGTTAAGTCAAAGGGGAGTTTAGTTAAACAGGCCGAGGAATGTCAGACTATAGTAATGAAGATGACAGTAATGATAGAAATGATGTTATAATGTCAATGATAATTATTATAATGAGAATGTGTAGATAGGGAAAATTAAAACGACAACGAGAACGGAGACAATGACGATGACGACGACTATGGTAATAGTGATGGTGATGATGATGATGATTTCCCAATCATGTCCTTGTTCTTGCTAAAAAGTCGTAACGTCAAACTTACTGTTAATTCCTCCGTTGAAATTTCCTTTGCAATTCACTATATTAGTCTGCGAATGACGTTCAATGCAACCGTCGTTTATCTTGCTGACTGGGCTCCAAAGTTGGTATGTGGTATTTTTTTTGATTGGATGAGGCCTTGAAAACATCGGCGAACCCGGCCCTAAATTGTTTATTGGAAGCCATGGATACACCATGTGACAATGGGGCCACAATCGGGGCCACTGTTGGGGTTCCATGTCTTGTTGAATCTCAGCGGAAGATATTTGTGCAGCCTAGGGAGGAGTTTGGCAAAATATTTTTAATTAGTGCTTAAAGTAAAAGTTTAAAATAAACGTTAACAAGTGTTAATAGTATATCAATCATTTGCCACATGTAACCGTCTCTATTTTATCCGAGGAAATAAAAGACGTTTTATTGACTTTCTGTCAGTATCACACTATCTTCACGCTTTATTTACTGATTGAGAGATAATACACGAGATACACCCAGAAAAGAGATGAGAATCCAAAATTATTGGATCAAAACTGGAAATTATACATTGGATTTTGCTACGCCGAGACAAAAATATCTCGGCATTCCTAAGGTAGATCAAACGCACTTCACTAATCCTTGTGTATTATATTTATCAGTGAATGAGCTAAATGTGTTCAATACAAATAAATAATAACAGGTTCGCACTCATTCATGAGCCAATTGACGGTCTGATGGGACATGGATGGTTTTTTTGCCGTTCATGCCTGTTTTGACACAGTTTTCTAGATGTTAGTTATTTTCCTTCTTACTTTAGGTACATTTACTGCATGTTTATCGTCAATAAAATAATATGTACTTATTGACTTCATAGGAGAGACGTAAGGGTAAATATTTGGCTGAGGTCATGAAGAATCAAATATTCTCTCTTTTTGCCCGGACCTAACTCGTTCAATATCATACGACCGCCACGTTATGTCTTTTTACATTTGCTTCCTGCCTTTTGCATCGTGCATTGCCGTACGTGCGTAATTTCTAGGACCCTCCCGCACCATCTCGTACGGCCCTCTTACGGGGATTTTTTAAAATCTTTCAATAAAAGCCTTTGCACGCGCAGATGCTTCCGAAAAGATGAATCAAGTTAAAAGAACGTCAATTTCAGGTCTTCTGACACAATGTTGCTTCACTAGAACATCTCATGAGGTACCCTGCAAATGAGCAGTATTTTATTTATTTATTTTTTAACTTTCCATGCCTATAGGCTCCTGTTTCTGGCTATTTGGCCGTACTGAGCTGAGATTAAGGATATTACTGTAAAACGTGTATACCTTGTTCTCGTTCTTTAGAATGACTATGGCTTTCAGCTTGTCATTTTCTTCCAACCCTAGGTCATGTTTGACTTCCACATATTCATTGAAGTTGTGATCAAATTTCTGAAATTTAACATTCCCCGGAGCAACATCTTCTGAGAGAATATCAGAGAAGGCCCTTAGGAAATGATGACGAAAGGTTTTCAAATCGTCTCCCTTCTTAAAGCGTATAATGCGCTTAGATTCCCCAAAGGTCACTAGAGCTTCAAGTTTACTCTCCTTTCCATTGCTCAATTTCCTGTGAGGCAAAAAAAGTTTGTTTGAAAAGTTTGGTAAGATAATTGTCAGTAGCGTAAGACTTTCGCGTACCCCAGTCCTATTCAGATAACCACTTTCGTTGAATTTCTCTTATTGAAAAGAAGTGACATGGAAAGGAGATGAAAGGAATATGAAAAAAAGGTTATGATTGCAGATACAGGCAAACCGTTACACGGGTATGATCACGCAATCTCCATCCCAAGGACCGTTCACCATCCATCGCCGTGTTTTAGAACCAAAACAATGAAAGGTCAGCCACATTTAAGGAAAAAATTTCGAGGGGAACTGATCTTTTTAATTAATTGCTAGTCGCAAATCATAACTTTGCAGCGCGCCTATTGAGCTATCCAGTTATACATTCTGAAGAAATGTGTTGGGACTCTGATGTGTTGGGACTATGCAGTGCAATCGCATAAGAGTCCCAAGGTAAGAAAGATAGCTTGTAGTTGTCGAAGTCGGATCTAAAGATTACATGGATGTGTGTGACTAAACTTGGCAATTTGTACGACAGTGTCTCTCTTTTCTCGATACTGTTGTGAAACCATTCCCAACTTAAGTTTTTGGACACAGGAACTGTTGGCGGTGACTAAGTCCTTGTATTGGTTTCAACCTTGAATTGAGCCTGCTGAACAGGAAACTTAATTTTTTTTACGATCCCTTAAAGACGCCAAAGTGAAACACGTTTTGTTCTAAGAGTGAGTTAATCATTAGAGACATTAGGCATATTCGAGACATTCAACAGAACCTTTTCAACGAACAATCCTTCTTCTAAGACTCCCTTCCCTCCTCCCCCCTCCCCCACGTATGCAAATCAAAAGAAATAAAGAAATAGGGACCTTAATATACCCCGATTCCGTTAGACGGCTTTTACCGGTAGCCGTACGCGTGAAATGTGGCGGGAAGATCAACTCAAGTAACCCGGACTAAACATGGGAGGACTGGGAATAACTTCTTGACTTTTGGTAAACATGGCGGCTTTTTGGCCACGTAAGTTTGATAAAGTTCACAAAAATGGTTGGTACAATATTGTCTGCCAAAGGAATTTTTCGACTTCGAACCAGTCTCCACCATTCGTTGCTTCCAATGACCAGTCAGCTGGTTTTCGGTAAATTTTTCTTGGTATAACACCGATTAGGCAGCACAAATTGACTTACACTTTCGTTCTTTTGACTTTTACACTTTTCTGAACGTCTTTTGCTGGTCTTCTCAGCGCGTTAAATGCCATCTACCCTGGATAAACGGCTAGGTTATCTTGTAGTGAGATGATGTCATTACCAAATATGGTCAAATATGGCGCCCTACCCGTACCCGGTGCGGGTCGGGGTATCTTAAGGCTTTGTTTTGTTTAGAATCACGGGGTTTAGTTTCTTAATCATCTTGGATACGAGAAAGAATGTTTGAAGATCAGTATTATTTTTGAGCCTAATCAGGAGCCCATCATGGCTCCTGGCTTAATACAGTAGCAGGATTTTTCTTATTTTCCGCCAGAAAGATTATTTATAGCCACTTGATTTACCTCTTCAGAACCGGAATTCCATCGTGGTGACGCAATGATTTGTTTCCATATAGGGTTCCTAAGGCCCTGGCACCCTGAAACACCCAAGATCTCCGTGTAATAACTGCCATACTACTGTGGAAGTTTCAGAAGAACTGTCGGTAACAAATCATATAGCGATACCAAATAAGCACATCTGATCAATGATCATAATTATGGTAAAATTCGCCTAAAAGACACTCCAGATACATTTATTTCTACAACAGACCTTGAATCCAGTGTAACCAATAGTTTACAACGACTTGCACGACGTTGATGCCTTATTTACGGGAGTGTTGTGATAAATAAGCAGTTACGCGACAAAAAAAATTATAGCGAAACTTGCAGAGCGTGGACAATCAGAACGTGAAAGTTAACATTTACACTTTGAAAACCAGAGAAGCGAATTGTACGAAACACTTGTTGCCATCCCACTCTGCCCGCCGGGTTTTTTCGGTGACAGTTTTTCTTAGAGGTGGGTTAAAGCTTACTTAAGGTTACATTAATTTCTTTCGCTTAAAGAAAAGGAAATCACATGCGATAAGCCCTCAGACCTCAGACAACGAGATTCATTACAGTTCATTGAGCTGATCCTCTTATGCAACCTGGTTGAATCTCGCTCGTAAGAAAAACTCACGAGAAAGACGAACTGACGCTGGAAGAGCTTGAAGAGCACAAGGAAAAGTTAACGGTAAGTATGATTCCCCTCAATCAATAAAACATCGCCATCTTTAACTCGGGTTTATCTTTCTTTTAAAGGGAACCGGTTAGACATTACTGATTTGTCTCACTTTCCTTTATTCCCTATATAAACACGAGGAGAAACTGGACAGAAATTATAACCTGTGTTAAGGTAGCCTTCAGAATAAGCGTCATTTTCTGCTTTTTTAGACGAGTGGAGTCACACACGAGAAGAAGGGCGCGAGTCTCACCCTTCGAGCGCGTATCGCTCCTCGTGTCTCACTTGATCGTGCATAATGGAGCACCGGAGAAATAAAGAACAGTTTCTGAGGCCGCATAAGTTTTTGCATTCGTTTTCAGCTCCTTCTCACTTGGTGCATGGTATACCCCAGACGTACACTTCGTAATAATTACGAAGTTATGTTTATACGAAGTTATGGTTATACGAAGCTCTCAACCGCCTCATGGATAAAATAATGACTGATAACACTAACACTGAGATCTTAAAGCAAAAATGTCCAATCCCAACTTAAATCTGACGTGTGTAATGGTAGCTGGAAGAAGACGTTTTGCAATGTTTGTTAGCGCATATGTGTACTTACTCTTCTTTATTCGCTGTTTTCCGGGATACTCTAACAAGCGAGGTCGGTCGGGCACAGCGCATTCTGAAATACGAGTTGGTCTGCTACGTTTAAATAGCTGTCCTGTACTTGACAGGAAGCTATTGACCCATTTCTGACCCAATTTCCGACGCCGACATTGCTCGCGTGCTTATTGATTTGTCATGGAAACAGTTGGGCCCCAACAGAAGTTTTCTAGTTTGCGGAAATATCGGAAAGCCATGTACTGTCACGGAACTTTTGTTCCAATATTCATATTTTCTTTCCTTGAGCAGTGCCACAGCGAATACTTCTTTCATGTGAAAGTGCCAGAGAGATAAGACAGATCCTCAAACCTTATTATTATCTTAGAACCGGATAAAGTTTGAGATTAACGTTTTGAATGAGTCACCAGCTTTAATTAAAAACAGCCCTGTTAGAAGTAGATTCAGTAGTTTCTCGGTCAATCCACAACACTCCTCACGATGCGTTGAAATGTATGTTTAAATATGTAGAAGTCTTGAAACGCTTTGTCCCTTTGTGCGCTTACCAATCAAGAAATAAGCAGTAACAAACTCAAATAAGCGTTGTTCGCTGAACCCCATTGTTAATATTTTCCTTAAGAGGACGTTTTATTGTCGTCCGGTTTCGTTTTCTTTCCTGAAAATGCCTCATGCGTTACAGCTGCGTTGCACGGTCCGGGGTTTGTCTCTCAGAACTGTACTCATTTTTACCTCATGTAAATACAGTAGTTAGAGGTCGTGAATAATTGAAATGCTTCCCTCTTTTGTGTAGAGTTTTCTTCGGCACAACCCGTCTTTTCACCGGGAAATTTTCTTGAGAGGTAACAAAATATACTGTCTTGGAGAAGGGTTGCTTTATAGTTCGATTCCGGGAAAGATAACACAAGGGAATATTCCAATCTTTTTAAGGTTATGCGGGGTCATATTTAGCTGTAGGTGATTTACGTCAAATTTTACGTTGATGAGTGTTTAGATGTCAGTACATTCACCGAATGGTTACTTATAAATGTTGTAGATGATCACTAACTTTTGCGAAATAGATATCAAATTTAGTGGGATAAATCAAATAAACATTGAAGCAGTAAGTAAGTACTGTATTGTCTTATTATTGTTCCGCACTCACGACAGATGAATTGACCGGAAAGGTCTACGAATTGCAAAAATTGTTGAGAATTCGTCCAAGATTATGTACTGTGTGTGCTATATCATGGCAGTGAAACAAGGATTGCAAGTAATAAATAACTCCATAGAATCACGCAAAATTATGCTAATGAAGTAATGCAATAAAAAAATCAGACAGAGTCATAAATAACGAGAGCATAGTTTCAAGTTAACCGTCTGTTGGGGCAGAGGTCTGTTTGGGTCTGGAGTGCGACTGCGACCACAAACGCGAACACCGCTAACGCGAGTTTCTGCGCGGCTTTCCAGTGGAAAGATCGAGCAAACCACCATTTATACCAGTGATATCTCTCTCTTCTTCGAAGTAACACCGAGAAACAGTTGGACTACATGATGGGATTGATAGAAGATGATATTTGAAGAGGAGACAAACAGATGCCACAAAGATAC